TTCGCGAGCACCCGCTTCTTTTGCCCCATGCGCGAATGAATCCAGTGCCCGTTCCATGAGCGGCAGCTGGAGAGCAAGCCGAAAAACCGAAACCCAGATGTTCCATCGTGGCGGCGGTCTGATTGTTTTTTTTCGGGTAACAACACGCCTACATGTGAAACGTTCGACCTGTGTGAAGACCCGCGAACACGACTTCTGAGTTCCAGGGCCCGCGCCTTTTCAAGTGAAAGTGTGTCCAGCAAGAGATGGTAGAGATGGAGCTGGTAGAGAGTTGACCATCGGAGCTCGTTTACCATCACTCTAGTAGCTCCACCCACATCCTAAGATATTTTCAAGCCTATCTCTCCCAATTAATCCCCCATAATATTATTTCTGTCGTTTTTATGCAGCGGCGAACCACTTCTATCACCATGAACCTTACCGTACCGTTTCCCTACTTCCCCACCTTCTGGACCCCTTCCCCTCCTCGCTCGCCGATCGCGGAGATCTTATCCGACGATCACCTTCTCTCGCTCGTGCTGCGCTCGCTAACGCGCGACTCCTTCCACTACGCGCTTGTCTCCAAGCAGTGGTACGCCGTAGCGCGCGTCTCGCTCACGCACCTCCGAATCAAATCCAGGATCCAATTCTCCGTTCTCTTAGACACGATTCGCATCTTCTCCTCCCTCACGCACCTCGAGCTTCGGTATTGTCGCGTTTCGAATCCGAACGGCGATGCTCTCTTCCAATGCCTGGGCGCCACGTGTCCGAACTTGACACATTTCACCCTACACTACCAGGCTCTCCTGCACATCACTAGCAACGGCCTCTCGTCTCTCTTCCATGGCTGTCGCAAGCTCCGCGACCTCCGCCTGCTTACCCTCAATTACCTCCCGCACCTGCCGCCCGCCGTCTCTCTCCTCTCCGACCTCACAACCCTCCATCTCTGCCGCCGCGTCGGCGACGATCACTTTGAGAATCTGCTTCTGCCAACCGAAAGCATCGGCGCACTTCAGCAGCTACGGGAACTCCGCTTAAACACAGGCCTGTCGCCGTTAGAAGGACCCCCGGATTCCACCAGCAGCCTCGCGAACCTCCCCAGCTCGATTGGTTACTTACCACATTTGCAAACCCTAGAGATTGTGATGGGCGTGCATACAATCCCGGATTCCTTTCAGCACCTCACCAGCCTACGCTCCTTTTCGCTGCAGTCCCAGCACTTGAGGCACGTGCCAGAGCATGTGATGGGGGGGATGGTGCAATTAGAGAAGCTTTTTCTTCGCTGGGTGTCCATCCAGAGCGTGCCGGACACCATCTGCTCCCTCCCCCTCTCCTCCCTCTCCATTTCCGCATGCCCTGCTCTCACCTCTCTTCCTGATAATCTCGGAGCCCTCGTACACCTTGAAAGCGTATCGCTTGACAGGCTGCCCAACCTCCGTGCTCTGCCTGAGAGCCTGGGCAGTTTACAGCGGCTCAAAACGTTAAAAATCGAGCAGGTGGGTCTGCTGCAGCTGCCCGAAAGCCTGTGCACGGGGAGTGTGAGGCACAGCCTGGAGCGGCTTTACCTGCGCGGCTGCAGTGAACTGAAGCGGCTGCCTCCCCAGCTGGCCATTCTGACGCGCTTGGAAGAGCTCGAAATCACCTCCTGCCCTCGCCTCCAGTCCCTAGAGCCTCTGTTTGCTCCGGATCCCGCACTAGCTGTGACCTGCTCCCTTGCTTCGGCTCTCCCTGTTGATCCTGCCCCTTCTCCTGACCTTGCGCCTCGCCCTTCTCTTGACCCTGCTCCTTCTTTTGCAACTGTCCGTCCTACAGCCACTGTTGCTGGCCCCACCACTGCTTGCACTCATACCGACAAGTCCACAGAGCCACAGCCACAGCCACAGCACAGCAAGGAGCAGTGCAACGCACAGCAGGGTTGGGGCCTGGCGTCTCTCACCAGCCTATCTCTGGGTGGTTGTTCACAATTCTCCTCTCTCCCTGATTCCTTCTCCACGCTCTCTGCCCTCTCTTCCCTCACCATCACCCACATGCACGGCCTCTCCAACCTGCCAGAATCCCTTGGATGGCTGGAAAACCTCAGTTTCCTGAAGCTTGATAACATGAAAAAGTTATCTGTGCTGCCCGAGTCACTCGGGCAGCTGAAAAACCTTGAAACGCTGGAGCTGTGCTATTTGCCGGAGCTGAACTCTCTGCCCGGGTCTGAACTCTCTCTCCGTTGGCTGCCCATGCTGAAAGAGCCCTTGCTGGTCGACGTGGGTAGGGTGACAGAGTGGTGGTGGATTGACTACCTCCCATTTGTTAGGTCCGCCAGAATGCGCCTCATGCTTCACTGAACTCAAGGCTTCCACATAGGCTGTCTTTCGTGATATGGTACTTGCATGCTAGATCATCGCTTCGCTTCATGGTCGAGAGGTGCTCGAGAGGTGTTGTATAGATTGACCACCATTTAACATCTGTCAAAACATGCCTGCTGATTGTACAGTATCCAAGTGTTGCGTATATACAAATGCCTAAATGGGCTGTGTGCATGCAAGATTAAAACACAGGAGCAATCAGCCCGCCCGCCAACCCAAACAAGCCCACCATGACCATAGCACGCGTCTTCCTCTCCCTTGACACGCAACACCGATTGAACTACTGGTACATGGAAATAAACAGGATGGGCCATGAGTGGACTCCGAGTTGTACTTGGCGCTCACGGCTCAGGTCGGGATGACCAAAATCCTAGCACAGGTCCTGACTGACAAATTATACCACCGTAACGACTTGAGCAACCCGAAGCACCACCTAACCTAACGTAGTAGTCTCCTTTTCTTTGTTGACGGACCTTGTACATCCTCAGAAGCACCCCCATTCGAATCACCACCAGCAGCCCTTTGCCCCCCAGTCACCCCTTTCGCATCTGCGTTCCCTCCCTTCTCGCCTCCTCCCCCCTTCCCCACCTCTTGGCCCAGCTGACTGATCTCCGTGGCACCATACTGCAGCGGCACGTTCGACACATCTGCTACCGTCTCCTCCTCTTTCAACCCGCCCGGTGCAGCAGCCGCCTGCTTCACCTCGTTCACCATCGCCAGCAGCTCCTCTTTGTACTTCTGCCGCGCCGCCTCCCTGCGCTTGCGCCGCTCCTCAATCACGCGCAGCACGGCGGGGTCGGACTCGTTCACAGCTGCCCGCGGGTCCGGTGCATCTAGTGCCTCCTCCTCGCTCAGGATCTCCTCCTCTGCTGCTGCCACTGCTGCTTCCTCCTCCTCCTGCGCTGCCACTGGGGGTTTGTGGCGCGGGAAAAGTGGGGAGAAGGGGAGGAACACAGGAAACGGAAGGGGTAAGGGAAACAAACCACTGAGTGACCACCTCTCTGCGCTGGCGCCGCTCGGCAATCACGCGCAGCACGGCGGGGTCGGACTCATTCACAGCTGCCCGCGGGTCCGGTGCATCTAACGCCTCCTCCTCGCTCAGAATCTCCTCCTCTGCTGCTGCCACTGCTGCTTTCCTCCTCCTCCTGCGCTGCCACTGGGGGTTTGTGGCGAGGGAGAAGTGGGGAGTTGGGAGGACATGGGGAAAGGGAAGGGATGCGGCGTGGCAAAGGAGAAACAGGCGAGGGAGAAGTGGGGAGTTGGGAGGACATGGGGAAAGGGAAGGGATGCGGCGTGGCAAAGGAGAAACAGGCGAGGGAGAAGTGGGGAGTTGGGAGGACATGGGGAAAGGGAAGGGATGCGGCGTGGCAAAGGAGAAACAGGCGAGGGAGAAGTGGGGAGTTGGGAGGACATGGGGAAAGGGAAGGGATGCGGCGTGGCAAAGGAGAAACAGGCGAGGGAGAAGTGGGGAGTTGGGAGGACATGGGGAAAGGGAAGGGATGCGGCGTGGCAAAGGAGAAACAGGCGAGGGAGAAGTGGGGAGTTGGGAGGACATGGGGAAAGGGAAGGGATGCGGCGTGGCAAAGGAGAAACAGGCGAGGGAGAAGTGGGGAGTTGGGAGGACATGGGGAAAGGGAAGGGATGCGGCGTGGCAAAGGAGAAACAGGCGAGGGAGAAGTGGGGAGTTGGGAGGACATGGGGAAAGGGAAGGGATGCGGCGTGGCAAAGGAGAAACAGGCGAGGGAGAAGTGGGGAGAAATGGGGGAGGACGGGGAAGGCAAGGGAGCTGCTCTCAGTATTCTGGTCTCTGAAGGCGCAAGGACACAGTAGGGTGGGGAGTTGAGCTGCTCTCAGTATTCTGGTCTCTGAAGGCGCAAGGACACAGTAGGGTGGGACACACAGGGCACGACAGTGAGAATCTGAAGGGTCCTAGAGAAGAAACGAAGGACAAATATGTTATCTTCACTCAAGGAAAACAGTTGGCGCAGCTGGGGGTGGGGGTGGGGGAGAAAGAGAAGGGGGCGAGGAGGAGGGGGGGGAGGGGGGGGGTGTGGTAGGTTGGGAGGTAGAGGAGAGGGAATGGGAGGGGGAGGGAAGGAGGGCAAGGAAAAAACGGAAAGATCTGAGGTTGAGAGCACCTGCGCTTGCATGTCAGTTGTGCATGGGTCGCTGCAATGACGTGCATGGGTCGCTGCAATGACGTGCATGGGTTGCTGCAATGACGTGCATGAGTCGCTGCAATGACGTGCATGGGTCGCTGCAATGACGTGCATGAGTCGCTGCAATGACGTGCATGAGTCGCTGCAATGACGTGCGTGAGTCGCTGCAATGACGTGCACGAGTCGCTGCAATGACGTGCACGAGTCGCTGCAATGGCGCGCATGAGTCGCTGCAATGACGCGCATGAGTCGCTGCAATGACGCGCATGAGTCGCTGCAATGACGTGCACGAGTCGCTGCAATGGCGCGCATGAGTCGCTGCAATGGCGCGCATGAGTCGCTGCAATGACGCGCATGAGTCGCTGCAATGACGCGCATGAGTCGCTGCAATGACGTGCACGAGTCGCTGCAATGGCGCGCATGAGTCGCTGCAATGACGCGCATGAGTCGCTGCAATGACGCGCATGAGTCGCTGCAATGACGTGCATGAATCGCTGCAATGACGTGCATGGGTCGCTGCAATGACGAACCCGAGTGGGTCACTTCCACGCACACCCACATCCCCCCTTCCCCATCCGCCCCCTGTAACATTCAGTCAGGCCTATCTTACCCCGAGGCTCAGCGTTTCAGTGACGGGTACTTCCTTTTGAGGAGCCTAAAAAATCCCACCATGCGCACTCCCACCCACCGACTGCATCATGCGCACTCCCACCCACCGACTGCATCATGCGCACTCCCACCCACCGACTGCATCATGCGCACTCCCACCCACCGACTGCATCATGCGCACTCCCACCCACCGACTGCATCATGCGCACTCCCACCCACCGACTGCATCATGCGCACTCCCACCCACCGACTGCATCATGCGCACTCCCACCCACCGACTGCATCATGCGCACTCCCACCCACCGACTGCATCATGCGCACTCCCACCCACCGACTGCATCATGCGCACTCCCACCCACCGACTGCATCATGCGCACTCCCACCCACCGACTGCATCATGCGCACTCCCACCCACCGACTGCATCATGCACACTCCCACCCACCGACTGCATCATGCGCACTCCCACCCACCGACTGCATCATGCGCACTCCCACCCACCGACTGCATCATGCGCACTCCCACCCACCGACTGCATCATGCGCACTCCCACCCACCGACTGCATCATGCGCACTCCCACCCACCGACTGCATCATGCGCACTCCCACCCACCGACTGCATCATGCGCACTCCCACCCACCGACTGCATCATGCGCACTCCCACCCACCGACTGCATCATGCGCACTCCCACCCACCGACTGCATCATGCGCACTCCCACCCACCGACTGCATCATGCGCACTCCCACCCACCGACTGCATCATGCGCACTCCCACCCACCGACTGCATCATGCGCACTCCCACCCACCGACTGCATCATGCACACTCCCACCCACCGACTGCATCATGCGCACTCCCACCCACCGACTGCATCATGCGCACTCCCACCCACCGACTGCATCATGCGCACTCCCACCCACCGACTGCATCATGCGCACTCCCACCCACCGACTGCATCATGCGCACTCCCACCCACCGACTGCATCATGCGCACTCCCACCCACCGACTGCATCATGCGCACTCCCACCCACCGACTGCATCATGCGCACTCCCACCCACCGACTGCATCATGCGCACTCCCACCCACCGACTGCATCATGCGCACTCGAACCCACCGACTGCATCATGCGCACTCCCACCCACCGACTGCATCATGCGCACTCCCACCCACCGACTGCATCATGCGCACTCCCACCCACCGACTGCATCATGCGCACTCCCACCCACCGACTGCATCATGCGCACTCCCACCCACCGACTGCGTCATGCGCACTCCCACCCACCGACTGCATCATGCGCACTCCCACCCACCGACTGCATCATGCGCACTCCCACCCACCGACTGCATCATGCGCACTCCCACCCACCGACTGCATCATGCGCACTCCCACCCACCGACTGCATCATGCGCACTCCCACCCACCGACTGCATCATGCGCACTCCCACCCACCGACTGCATCATGCGCACTCCCACCCACCGACTGCATCATGCGCACTCCCACCCACCGACTGCATCATGCGCACTCCCACCCACCGACTGCATCATGCGCACTCCCACCCACCGACTGCATCACGCGCACTCCCACCCACCGACTGCATCATGCGCACTCCCACCCACCGACTGCATCACGCGCACTCCCACCCACCGACTGCTTTCCCCTTTCCCCGTTCAGTCTCTCTCCGCCCCATGATTCCCCCAACCTCCCCCCATCCCCCCGCGCATACCCGTGAGGGCGTCAGCGGCGGCCTTATTGGAGCGGGCGAAGGAGTCGAGCAGCGACGAGGGCGCGGCGGCGAGCCCCGTGCTTCCCACGTAGTAGCCCGCCGCCACTAGCGCGAGCGCCGCCACCACCATCACCACCACCTGCGACGACTGCGACGACTGCGACGAATGCCCTGCCATGGTAGTCGTTTCGCACGAATGCGGCTGCGGCTTTAAACGAGGATAAACGAATGACGGAGCTTATCTGCGGCAGGCCTAGAAAAGCGGAAGCGATGCCGTACGCATCACCGGCGAGCGCACTAACGATGATAGCGGGAACCCTGCGGTCGACCTTTCTAACAAATGCGTGCGGCCTTAAATGACGTAAACGAATGGAGGGGCTTATCTGCGGCGGTCCGAGGCAAGGGGCCGCGATTCCGCACGCATCGCCGGCGAACGCGCTGTCTACGATAGTGAGAACCCTGGGGTGCACTCGCAGGGGGGTGGGAACTGCTACACAACTGGGACAGTGCGAACCGCGAAATTGGTCTGCACGCACAAATAGCGCCTGGAATTGCGGAATAATCTAGGTTGGTCGGAATTTTGCTGCTGGTATGTGCGAGCGGACGGATAGAGCAAGAAAGGAGAGTGCTTGGTTTGGTTTGCGGGGGGATTCGAAGCAGGGAATATCACGGGAGGGGAGGTAGACCCAGGTTGGTGAGATTTGGCTGGTTTGCGGAAAAATCTAGGTTGGGTTGGGTTGATTCGTTTTGGATTGGATTAGGTTGGTTTGGGAAAACATTGGCAGTTCAACAATAGTGAGCTGAGGACGCGTCACATGTCCAACACCGATCCCGTGAAATATCGGTGTGCAGCATCTACAGTATCCCGTGGTCGTAAAGCATTTCGCGAAAATCGTGCACACGCATAAACCCCTGATCGGATGGCTCAAACTGCCACATCGATCGTGCGATTGACAGAGCGGAAATCAAAATCGCACCACCAGTTCCAGCCACGATCGATCGCCGTCGCATACTGTCGGCCACCTTCGATGTGGTAACTTCGTACCCTGCCTTTTCGCCATCAATTGAGCAAGCAGCTTGGTATTTCTCTCTCGTCACAAGCCATGCGAAATTGTGCTTCTCGCCAGCGAAGCACGGCTCCTGCGCTAGTCGCTGGGTGTACAGTTGGCATGGAGATCCCCAACTTGCAAACCCGGTCTTGTCCCACTTGGCTCGGGGAAGCAGCCAACACTGCTCCTGCGGATTGAATCACGTTTTTCGCAAGTCCATGCACACATTCTCGGTGTTTGGAGCCGATCTACCGCGGTGTTGCACATGTGACGCGTCCTGATGCATCTTCGTGGATCTACGGTATCAACAATCGGCTCAACTATCCCCATCCCAGGCCAGGTTACCACACTCTCGCCAAACAATGGCGCGAACAGCCCACGTGGCACCCGCACTGCGTAGGCAATGGGGAGGCAAAGAAAACGATGTGCATGGAGAAACTGGTTGGGCGAAATCTGTGTGTTACTCACAGCTCCGTTTGACAGGTTTCGATCTGCTGCACGAATCTGGTATGTATCTGAAGTCCGTTTTCAAACCAGTGGAGCGTTCATATTATGAACCGAGTCTCTGATCGTTTGAGGTCGGAAAATGCATAAAAAGTTCGGTGACACCTGGGCTCCACTAATTTCAAGGCCCGAAATCGGGCGCTCGCGGGTAGCTACCCTTATTATGTCTGGGACCAAGGGTTGTACAGAGTGAAACATATTTTGAAGTAGGTAGGGTTTCGGACTCCTTGTGAGGGCAATGACGCAACGAAGGTCGCAACTAGAAAATTTTCCCGTCAGAGAGGGTTGTAAGCCTGATCCACTGAGGGACACATTGTTTTAAACAACCGTTGAGGAGAGCGTCCTCAATATCGTTTTCATTATGGGTGTCTGAAAGATACGGCCGAATCTGGTCTAGGGTGTCTCTGAAAACATTTTCCAGGGCTTGAAATTAGTGGAGCCCAGGTGTACACACGGAAATCGCGTAAACGGATTGAAGAACGTATGAAAATGAGTACACATAGCCACCGCTATTTTCAACTTCCCACCTTGGCACTGTTCCCGATTTTCATATAAACCCTGCCCAGCTTTCGGGGTTTTCTGTTAGAAACCTCGGTATGGGGGACTACGAATGACGTCAAATGCTGGACGCTGGAGATTTTAATCGGGCGAGTGTAAGACAATTTCCGCTCGTGTGGAGTCTGCTTCCTGTTGCGCATCCCATTGCGCAGCTTTCAGGAGTCAGGAACTAACTCTGCGTAGAGCGTATGACGTCTAACACAACCCTTGGTAAAAAATGTTTGAGGGGTGCATACCCCTTTGCGCACATGGGGGTTGAAAATAGACCGAAAGAAAATAGCGGTGGTTAGGTGTACTCCCTGACCCACCCCCACATTCGCGGTACAGAAAAGCTATTTGGTACATCTCTAAAATGTTCTGACCCGAAATGGACCCCCAGGTTACTCCGGGGCAACATTCAGGTCACCTCAGAAACTGACCCAAAAGTCACTTCTGGAACTGACACTTGTCAGCAGGACTAGGCAAGAATGATGCATTGAATGAAACAGTTGGGTACAAGTAGCAAACCCTAATTGGGGTTGTACCCCATATTAGCTACCCCACTACAGCCTACAACCATCATATAACATATTACAGTTTAACACACCCCCATAGGCAAAGTGGGGGAGAACAAAGGGTCACAAGACCAGTCCAGCAAAGCAACACAAGCCCAGGGTGGATCACAACGTCACCACACTCTGAGCACAAGCAAAGGCCACAAGGCCAGTTCACATGCAGTGCTAGATATAGAACAAGACAAGCAACAAGATATATATAAAGTACAGTACAAAGAAAGTCAAGCAGTAAGCAAATGAGGGAATGTGGACACAAGGCCTAAAGAAGTACAGTGCCGCTGATGATCACTAGGCGGGAGCGCCTTGGTGAAGATATCAGCAGTGTTGGCCTTCGAGTCCACGTACACAAGCCGAAGCTGACCGCGCTGCTGCAGCTCTCGAGCAAGAAAGTAGCGAAGAGAAATGTGCTTCGTCCTGTGCTCCAGTCTGTGCTCCTGACACAAGGCAAGGGCCGCCTTGTTGTCGCCGTACAGAACTGGAGGAGAACTAGGCCGCTCTCCCAAGTCAGTCAACAGGTAGGTGAGCCAGCGTAACTCCTGAGCAGCCATGGCGGTGGCGTAGATCTCAGCCTCACAACTAGAGCTGAGAACAGAAGAAGAGCGGGTGGACCGCCACGAGACAGAACCAGAGCCAAGGCTGAAGGTGTAACCCTGCGACGACCGCTGCGTAGCCAGGTCGTCCACCCAAGAAGCGTCCGAGTGACCAGTGAGGACAACTCTGTCGCGTCCTCCAAGCACGAGCCCCATGCCTGATGTACTGCACAAGTAACGCAGCACCCTCTTAGCAGCCTCCCAGTGCTCTCGCCTGTGTCTCCCAGGCGCAACGTAACGAGCAAGGATGCTAAGAGGGTACGCGAGGTCAGGTCGCGTGCAGGTCATCAGGTACATGAGGCAGCCTACAAGCTCTGGGTACGGGCCACTCGGCTCTACGGACTCGTCCGAAGGTGGAGCTGAGAGCGAGTGACTGGTAGCCAGAGGTGTGGCCTGTGGTGAGGAGAACTGGAAGCCGAAGCGCTGAAGGACCTGCTGCACCATGTGTGACTGAGTCAGGGTGATGGTGCGGCGTGCTCTGTCCCGGGTGATCTGCAAGCCAAGGTAGCTGCGCAGCTCACCCAGATCAGTGCACGTGTGTCTCTTCTGCAGCTCCGACTTCACGTGGGCGAGTGCCTCAGTGTCAGCAGTAGCAAAAACCAAGTCGTCGACGTACACGAGGATGTAGAACGGTGGCAGCGAGGTGTCGGTGCGGAGAAACAGCGACGGGTCTGCAGTGGAGGGAGCAAACCCAAGTGCCGCAAGTGTCGTCCTCAGTGTGTCGTGCCACTCGCGCGGCGCCTGGCGGAGACCGTAGACTGGCCGGCGGAGGCTCCACTGGGTACCAGGAGGGAACGACCCAGTAAAGCCAGGTGGGCGGCGCAGCCAGATCTCCTCGTGCAGGCTGCCCTGCAAGAACGCTGTGCTGAAGTCAAGAGAGTGAAGCTCGTAGTCACGCTGAGCGGCAACGTGCAGCAGAACCCGAAGAGTGGTCATCTTCGGGGTGGGGGAGAAGGTCTGGAAGAAGTCAACTCCCTGACGCTGACTGAAGCCTCTAGCAACGTAACGAGCCTTGAAGACAGGTGGAGAACCTGGCGGCCGCTTCACCCTGAAAATCCACATGCCATCGACGATGTTCGCCCCAGGAGGGGGAACCTCGTCGACGTAGGTGCCTGTGGATTTCCAGGATGCCATCTCTGCGTCCATGGCTGTCTGCCACTGAGAGGAGTAGGGACCCGAGATTGCCTCTGCGTAAGAGCGCGGAGTGGGGATGTCTAGTGCATCCGGGTCTCCCTCAGGGGCAAGCAACCAGGCCACGAGATGAGGTACAGCAGCCGCAAGAGAGTCAAGGTCCTCCTGCCTGTCCTCAAGGACGTCCGTGCCAAGAGCACACTCACCCCCGACGGACGGAGGACAGACAGACTCAGACTCAGCAACAAGACTGGCGGCGTAGTCTAGACGACAGGCAGCAGCAAAGTCGACAAGCTCAGCGACCAGGGCAGACGCAGCAGCAGACTCAAAAGTAGGGTCAGTGACAACAGTGGCGAGAAGACGCGTAACAGTAGGGTGGGCAGCACGAACACTGTCAGACGCAGGGTCGGGAACGTCAGGAAGAGAAGACGCAGGAGGAGACGGTAGGGGGACACGCTGTGGACCAGTGGAAGGACGAAGGGCCATAATGTGCGTGCCAGGAACAGGAGGAGGACGCGGACGCGCGACACGACGACCAGTGGGACCAGTGCGCGCAGTGCGAGCAGTGCGCGTAGTGCGAGCAGTGCGAGCAGCGCGAACAGGCGAGGCAGGACGAGACA